CTCCTTGTGCAAGGTGTCAATGGTCGTCTTTTGGACAACTGTCAAGTCAGCAGTCTTCCCCATGATTGTGTAACCTACAGAACTAGACTGAGACTATTTAAAGGCCTTTGCAGGTGTTTTGAGTTAATTAGCTGATTAGAGTGTGACACCAGGTGCCTTCAATATGGAACCTTTTCACAATATTCTAATTTACTGAGATACTGAATTTGGGGTTTTAATTATTTGTCAATTATAATCATCAACATTAAAAGAAATTAACATTTGAAATATATCAGTCTGTGTGTAATGTAAGAATATACAAGTTTCAGTTTTTGACCGGAATGACTGAAATAAATCAACTTTTTCTTAATTTGTTTATTTAAGGATCCCCATTAGTTTCTACCGTAGTAGAGACTATTCTTCCTGGGGTCCACACTTAAAACATTGCAATTAAATCAAGCTTTTACAAACATACAAAAAGATATAATAAAATACCTAAGATAAAGACAAATTCACAACATAAAAATTCGAACCAACCGTCTCAATAACAACATTTTATAAGCATTATAAAATGACAAAATACTGTACTATTTTTAAAATTAACATGATTGGCAATTAATGTAATTACAGAAGGCAGCATGTTCCAATAAGAAATAGCTCAATACACAGCTGTTCTTTTGAGAGCATTAGTCCTAAGCAGAGGTAATGTAAAAGTAACAATAGAGGCTCGTCTAGTATTAAAAGCATGTCTATTGCAGGTGGGTAACTGTGATAAAAGGCTAAAAGGTTTATGTAAAGTCCAGATTTTGTGTAAAGAGAGAAGAAGGCTGCATGCTAGTTTGTCACCAACTTTCATCCATGACAGGCAATGATGCATGAAATCGATGCTTGTTCTAAAATGACATCCGAGTACTAGCCTTGCAGCTTTATTTTGAACTACCTGCAGTTTATCCAGATGTTTTTTTGAAGCACTTGACCAAACAGCTGAACAATATTGAAGTTGACAAAGAACTAAAGATTGTATAACTAATTTTCTTATTTCCAAAGACATAAAATGTGCATTATGCCAGATTATAGCAATGTTTCTGCTCATCTTAGTCACGATCTTATTATTATCTTTATTGCCTTTCAACATAACATCAGAGATGCACTGCAGAACAAAATTAAAATGCATATTTGGTCACAAACAGAACCCATCTGGATAAACTAGAGTATAAAAAAGAAGAATAAAATAATAATATAGAATAAAATAGAATAAAAACCAGATCACAAAAGGGGAGGCTGTATACGTATAAGTGCAAAACCTTCGCAATCTGTCCAAGAAATGTATCAGGAATAATATGTGCAACCAATCACATAACAGGTAGATAAAATAATATTATAGTCTTGGATTATTTGGAGTGATTCAAAAGTCTAATGGCGGTTGGGTAGAAGCTGTCACAGAACCTTATTGTTCTGCATGACAGGCTGTGGTATCTTCTGCCTGAGGGTAAGAGAGAGAACAGTCCATGACAGGGGTGTGAGGGGTCCCTGGCGATTCTTGTTGCCTTCGACAGGTAGCGTTGTTTTGCCAGGTCCCCAATGGGTGGCAACGTGACCCCAAAAATTTTTTTTCAGCTGACCTTACCACTGTCCCCAGTGCCTTTCTATCTGAGGCTCTGCTGCTCTCAAACCACAGAGAGATGCTGCTGATAAGCACACTCTCAATGGTGCCGCTGTAGAAGGTAGTGAGGATTGATGGGCTGAGGTGTGCTCTCTTTAGACTGCACAGAAAGTATGGGTATGGCGAACCTCAGCTGGGTCAAGACAAAGTACCTGTTCCTCCTGTTATGGAGTGGCCTTCACCGCAAGCATGTTGTTAAGGGCCTCAAACCATCCAAAATAGTTATTAAGTTGGTTCAGGAAGTCAATGTTCCCATCACAGGAATGGGGTGTGATCTTATAGTCTGTAAAAGGTTTAATTCCCTTCCAAAGTCTCCTGTTGTTCATGTGGTCCTGAAAATGGTCTTGGATTTTGTGTCCATAAACCCTTTTAGTCAGTCTGACTGCTTTGTTTAGCCTGGCCTTGCTGTTCTAAGGATAGTTGTGTCTCCAGATTTGGAAGTGGGGTCTTTTGATCTCAGAAGGGCTCGCACCTCTGCAGTAATCCACGGTTTCTCATTTCCCCTAACTATGATGTGTTTTTTTGCAGGGACATCTTCCATGCATTTCTGAATGTTGCTTGATACAGTCATAGCATATTCCTCAATATCAGCCTCCTGGTCCTTGGTGGCAGCCAAGTATATTTATAAACCCTGTATACGTATAAGTGCCCTTTATAACCCTTTATAAACCCTTCCCACACTCTTGCAATGTTCTGAATAATGTTCTACAGTCTCTAAATGCTCTAAAAGAGCACAGTGAAAGAGAGCAGATGGACTGATGCTACAGTTACTGAGTCAATCCTGGGGGTGGGCTGGCCATCTGGAGCTTCAGGACATTTCCCGGTGGCCTGGCCCGCTTGGTGGTTGTCAAGGGGCTGGACCAGTGGCTTGGTTTGGGTTGCGCTTGATTGTTTTGGATGGCTGGTCCATGCCGCTCGCTCGGGTGTCCACTTCAATGGGGATACCTGGGCGATGGCGATGGAGGGGGGATGGACCCCACCCTGTCTCTTTCTTTCTCATTCTGGGGCTGTCTCTTACGGCGGAGCAGAGACACATAACAGGTTGTGCACCCGCCTGTTGTGTGTCTCTGCTCTGCTGTGACAGACAGCCTCAGAAAGAGAAAAGAGGGCCCCCCTCGGTGATCACTGAGCGGGACAGGCCACCTGGAAATGTCTCGGTGCACACGATGGCCAGTTAACCCCTCAGCACAATGCTCAGGTTTGTCACCTTCCATCAATCAGCCAGTTAACCCCTCAGCACAATGCTCAGGTTTGTCACCTTCCATCAATCAGCCAATCGTGTGTTGTGTACAATCCTACGTTAAAAACCCACGAAAGAGCGAGTCCGCTAAAGTTGAACTGCAAAGTATTGAGGAACTACTATGCCTATCTCAAATACAACATACAAAGCATCATTGTTCAGATGTGTTAGAGTGAGGGTTTATTGGCTGAAAGCTGGTCACATGGTGAGTATAGGGATTCCCCCTTAGTTCGTTGCTATGACAAACAACTTCCTGGAGGTGTGAACAGTTCTGAAGAAAAACAACAAAAAAGGTTGAATCATGTCATCTGGACTTCGTTTTTTTGTTAAAAAGAAACGTTTCGCCCCTCATCCAAGAGGCTTCGTCAGTCTGAGGCCTAGACATCTGGTATTACCCAGAAGCCACCCTGACTCTTGTGTTTCAAGCCTGCCTCAGATACCCCTGAAGTCTGGCCTTTTCACTAATGGTTTCAAAAACACGATTCAACCTTTTTTGTTGTTATATACCTGGATGACTGAGAAAACAAACTTTGAGTTCTGAAGAAAGTTTGTCCAAAGACTCTGCTCGGTGCCATTTTGTGAAAGACACTGATGTGAATGGTGACTCTGTGGCCCGGCGCTGCTTTTTATACTTTATATGTGTATAAAATAGACTTAAACCGAGGGGGTCTGGTGCTTGGCTGGGGGTCTGGGCTGTGGGGGGCTGTGGGTGGGTGGGGGGCTTTTGTTCGATGGCGCATTCACACCTCCCTAAACGAGCCGGACTTTCAAGGAAAACGAGCTAGAGTTCGATTAAAGCGGACTAAACAGGTCTGGTGTGAATGCACCCTAAGTGTCACAATGCCGGACAGGACAAGGGGGGGGAAAAAAAAAAAAAAGAGAAATAGATTGTTTCAGAGGAGCCTGATTCAGACAATTTAAACATGCCTAATAGCTGGTTGGTCAAAATTATGCTTAAGAGAACAATATTTGCTGATTTGCACAAAGACCGCTAATAAACAATTGTGAAGCCAACAAACGAGATAATAAAATCATGCAGATAAATGATACTGATTTAGTAACGTTACAGACATTGGCTTTTTTGATAGCCTAGCTTAAGGATGTTTTGGAACTGCCATCTAAAACATGTCTACATCAAATTAACATCAGATACCATACAAAAACAGATTTTTTTCTTTTGCACTTTTCACATGCAGAAGAACTAAAAAAAAAGTTGAAACAAGATATTTTCTCTTTTTATTTAATGTTTATGAATCTTTTCAATTCCAGTTTTTGGATTGTGAGTAAGTTAGCATGTATTTTGTTAGGATGTAAATTGTTACTATACAGTATACATTACAATATACAGTATATTGTTGACATGTATGTAGTTAAGATGCATAGCCTATAGTTAGCTTTAGCATGTGGATAGTTAGCATTTATATAGTTAGTACAAGTATTGTACATAGATAGCATGTACAGTATAAAGTTAGCATGAGCATAAGTGGAGTTAAAAAGTTTGTGAAAACCACTCTAATATTTATTCTTAGGATACATAATATTAGTAGGCATGTCTAAAATAGGCTTCTATGCTACTGAAAACCTTGTATTGTCTACATTTATTGTAAATGATGTCAACAAGGACACACCCAAACTTTTGGAAATCACCATTGAAAATCTTAAGTTTTTCTCACCAAAACCTGTGTTCATGTGGACAATGCAAACAGATAATTTATTTATTTATTTTAATATTTGGAGAGGTAAAGATGGGCCAAGGAACACATTGTTGCTCCTGAAATGATAAATTTGATGTGTTTTGTGTTGTTCATTTTGCTTGATATAAAGATTTCACAGTTCACCTTAATTTATTTAGCTATAATGCCGTTTTATATCAAAAGTTCAAAACATAGAAAAAATAATTCCAGTTGAAAAATTACAAAGTACAAATGACTGCAAATGTTGTCATTATAAAGACAATAGGAAAAAATGCTTAAAGAAAATTATTCTTCGACTGAGAAAGGAAAAATTTAGGCTTTCAATTATGGACTGCAGTGTTCCTAGCATGTTTTAAGCCTAAACTGAATAAAAGTAAAATTTTGACCCATTTTTGTTTCTCTTATTGAGCACAGTTCACCCTGACTACCTGCAGCCACACTCTGCCACTTTCATCTCTTCATAAAGGTATCTTATAGTGAGGCGCCCATTCTCCTGATACATGACTGTTATAGGGTCCAGTTTTATGGGGACGCAGCATGCCATGTTGGCCTTCTTGGGATCTCTGAGGTTCATCAGAGCCTGGATGAGGGCGTGCTTTGATGGGGTTGATTCATCGGTCAGCGGGTGGTAACACACTCCTCGACATTCAAAGGCATCATATTCTGGAGGTGCTACAATCCAGCTATCCCAGCCAATGTCTTTAAAGTTGACTTTGAGTGAGGTTCGGTGGCAGTATTCCAGTTCTGCCTTCCTTTTCATTCTCCTTAAATACCGAGTGTCAGGCATCTCATTTGGAGGTTGATTTCCTCTGTTCAAATCCTCCCCCATCTGAAGAAAGGTTTCTTCTTCATGAAGCATCATCTCTTTTAGTTCCTTTTTTGCCTCTCTCCTTTTGCTGCTGAAGTCATTCGAGTAGACTATTAAAATGGCCGAAGTATTATCTCCAATAGATAAACTCATGTTGAAGCAGCTGACTTTCTCCTCTCCTCTATCAGAAGCACTGCAGTCTTTCATATCCATGACTACATCAAAAACAGTCACTCCGTGGCCCAACTTCAACCAGCTTTGAACTGAAGTAGTCACATCAAACGTCACCCATGTGCTCTGTGAGACCACAATCTCCTTGCTATACAAACTTTGTGTTGGAGATGTGAAATTGTTGCCATCAACCTTATAAACTTTAACTGGGACTTTAAAACTCTCGGAGGTGACCTCTGATCGGGCATCCTGCAAGAAGAGGAGCTGGAGTTCAGCAGTGGTAATCTTCTCATGGTTGGGAATACTGCCATTGAACTGCAGCCTGTGTTGTGATTTAGTGCCATTTATTATAGTAAGAATATCTGTTAAAGAAAAAAGAAAAAACGAGTTACTTTAGCCATCATATGTTGTCTTTTTTGATTGCATTGCAAAAATCTAAATGTTTTTAATTGTGGTTCCAGCCCACAAATTTTAGGATTTTTAGCCAACTTTTTACCTAATTATAGTAAAAGGCAAATTTTATCCAAGTTACAAATACATAAATGGATATTTGTCATTTTGAAGTGGTCTGTGTAAAAGTTATGCACAATAATATCTTAGTTGTAGCTTTTGAACAACTTCAGCTACAAAAATTGTTTTTGTCCGAACGAACTGACAAACTACTGTCTAATCTACATGCAGCCAGGACCAAACTGGACAAAAGGACCACATACAGTCCACTCTAAGCCCGTCGACAAACTTATACAGCAATCCATAACAATGGGCCAATTATCTCAAAGCAATATGAATTATGAGCAGCATTTTTTTCATAAATCATGACTCTGTAATATGCCAAAAACATTTGCAAGCTGTTGTTTTTTCATTTGCACGTCCTTGTCAACTTTGGACTGCAGTGTTCATAGCATGTTGTGCTAGGAACACTGCAGTAATGATGTCAAGGTGAATCCACCTTGACATCATGTCATCTATTACTCACGGCATCTGCTGTTAAATTTATAAAGCACAATAACTATATTTTTGTTGTTGTTTTGTTGTTTTTTAATTTCATACTACTGCTATCACTACTCTTCAAAGAATGAACACATTTTAAAATGGATAAACTTCTGTTCTGAAAACACATGTAATGTTTCTTTTGTTTTGTACTGTATGTGTGAATTCTTAAGCATTACTGCATCTCTGCCCCACCAGCACCATCACAGGTACAATAATGCATTGCAGCAATATTCAAGAATCAAGTTGAAAAGAAGGATTACTAACTATCATCAGCTCTTCATGCAAAATATCAGCATATGCATTCTTGAATTATGGGATTGACAAAAAATAATTGAATGATTAAAACCAGAAAGTAAAAGGCCACACAAGGTCATGACATTTCATTCAGTGCTAACACTCAGTTGTATCAAGTTTAGTAAATAAATCGAAAAGGCACAGAACTTACAGTCTGAAAAGCAAAAGCAAGCAGATCCTGACCTCAGAGTGGGATTGATGAAAAACTTCAAGACTACACCTAAGGGTGCACCAAGTTTCTTTAAATTATCTTGAACAGATCAGAAGCTATAGCCCAGACAAGCAAAAACCTTGTTTGAAAAAAACTGATCTTGATTTGTGACCTTGACCTCAGAGCTGGGGTGATGAAAAGGTTATGTGACACTGGCCAGTCATGGTACAAACATGTATCAAGTTTCACTGAATTATCTTGAGCAGGTCAGAAGGCACTGAAGCATGCATGAGGAAACGCTAGAACAATTCAAATTAAAGGCATTTCTGAAATAGCTTACACTGTTTTTTAATCACCTGTGAAGAGTCTCTGTTCTAAGACACTCAATAAATCATGACTCCACTTAAGACTAATTAAATTTTTTTTGTACCTTGAACCATGAAGCTTCGTATTACATCATACTGGGGCAATGTCGAACTGTCCGAGACATACTTGTTGTACAGGTCCACCATGATCTGTGGGGGGGAGATCCTGCTGCGCTCCTGTGGAACAGTTGACAGGTTGAGTTGCCTTAAAAAACCTTCCTTTAAACTTCCCACAAGGTTTTCTACTCTGGACTTGGTGTCTTCTTCTGCCAGAAGGTCCTCTGACAGCTTGTACGATTTCTCCAGATCCTCGATTATTTGAACGTCATTACTGAGAGGCTTACAGTTGCATGAACCAAAACACACCACCAGATGAAATAAAAAGGTCCTGGAAGTATTCATTTTGAGAAAATGTTGGAAACCACTCAGCACATGCAGCGTTCAGACTGAATTTTTGGTAGCAAGATTTAATAACGAAGATCGCAAGTTCAGGAAATACAGTTCAGATGTCCGTTCCCATGCTCCTAGAGTAAACAGGGAGACTTGTGTCAACCAAAATAGTAGCTTGGCCATACTTAACCTTGTTGTTGATGTCTTTTTTTAAAGCTTTGCTATCATCAGAGGACTGGCTGCTAATGAAGTCACTGTAAACACTTGACATTGATAATGAGGAAGGCACCGGAAAATGTGTGGTTTCTGACAAACAGACGTTTCCACAGAACGCTTTCCCCCAATTTAAGGGTGAAATTATAGCATTAAACTGATAAGCTTGGGGATATAGCAAACTTTCAGATGTAGCAAACTAATCAATGACAAATAATGTATGAATTATGAAACAAAGAACATTAGCCCTGAGGTAAAATAAATTGTTGCAAAGATGAGTGTATCCTACGTTCTGTCTGTACATGTTAATTTTAAAAAAGGCAAACTTTTTTTATAGTGTGCCCCAAAGTTTTTATTCACACCCAAAATGCTTGAAATGGCCATTTTTCATATAGAAACGAGTCTTTGGACCTAAAATCCCACAAATGCTACTTTAAACCTACATTCCTGGTGATGAGACAGTCTTTAAGTGTATTTTAACGTCTCAGGTGTCTGTAATTGTTAGATTTTCAAAAAAGAGAATTCTGTTTTAGTGTGAACAAAGTGTTTTGTTATCATCTAAAAAGCTTCAAATGGCCAATCTTCATAGAAACAACCATTTTGGCCAACAACCCCACAAATTCTAGTTAAAACCTTGTTTGTTCCTGAAGCTGTCTTTAAGTGTATTTGAGGGTCACCAGTGTCTATACTTCAACAAACTCATTCTTTATCTCTTTTTTTCTGTCTAAAACAAACTGCGCACGCCAGATCTTGATGACATTCCAGTTACACACTTTCTATAAAGTTTATTCCTCACTTAAGTTGGTCAAGTGGTTCTGATGCAACCCATGTTCGTGGTTCCACGCAAACAGGGTGAGAGGATGGACAATGCCCATGAGCTTCTCTCTGTTAAACAAAAAGGTGACAGATAACGTTTAACCCTGAAATGCATAAAGACGGATTACATCAAAGATTTTTCATAATGCTGTAATTCATCATTTTTTCCTGTATAAATGGTGGATATGCTGTCTTTTCTTTATTTTGATTAAATTATAGTTTCCTCAAATGATTTTTAGGGTGGTTGGGATTTCTGCAGTGTGGCCTTGGACCACTAAATATAATTGTTTCAGTCTAAACAATAAATCACAAAATATGTAAAATCATGATGCTAACATGCTGATAAAAATATCCATCCATCCATTATCTTTTACTTGCTTCTTCTATTTTTGGGTCACAGGGGTTGCTGTTGCCCATATCCAGCAGTCACTGTGCGAAAGGTGGGAGACACCCTGGACAGGTCTTCAGTCCATCAGAGGGACACATAGAGACAAATGAGACAAACAACCATTCACTCTCTCACTCACACCTAGGGACAATTTAGAGTTATCAAGTCTAACGTATGTTTTTGGTTTGTGGGAGGAAACTGGAGTACCTGGAGAAAACCCACGCAGCACGGAAAGAATATGCAAACTCCACCCAAAATGGCCCCCGGACTGGGATTTAAACCGGCAACCTCTCGCTGAGAGGCAGCAGCTCTACCAGTTGCGCCACCATGCTGCCTGCTGATGAAATATTGACATTATTTTGTGGTGATTTCTTTGAAAGCATACTATCTATATACATTTTTATTGAATCAGGATGCATGATTAGCCTAAGAATTATAATTTATTCAATTTGTATAAGTGTTTCAATTTATCTACATTTTTTGTATATTACCTAATTGCTGTGGATCTTTTTTTAACATCTAGAAGTGATTTAACCAAGTTTACTGTGTCTCTTAAAGTGTATATTACATTCTGACACTGTAGCTAAGCTTTTTTTTACTATTACTTTCTACGTGTTCCTGCTAGATCTGATTGCTTTAAGATAAATATGCATGCAGCATCTATAATACATGTGGTTGTAAGTTTGATTATTACAGCTATGACAAAATCAGCAACCAAATCCTGTCTGAACTTTACATTTATTCACATATCATGGTAACCAATCTACAGGTGCATCTAAAAATAATTAAAATATTGTGAAAAAAAAAGTTCAATTGTTTTGGCAATCATTTCAGAGAATGAAACTCTTAACTTTGAAATACTTTAAATATTTCAAGCTTTAGAAATCTAGAGGACAAATTGACCTCATTTCCTTAAATGATTTGTTAAAATTGAATAGTTTTCATTTGATACTATTTCTATCTTAATGTGATTCTTGACCTGCCATTGTGTATCTGTTCCTCTAAACCCAGCCGGTGGAAGCAGATGGTCGCTTGTCCTGAGCCTGGTTCGGCTAAAAGTTTCTTCCTCATGAGGGAGTTTTTCCTTTCCACTGTTGCCTTCACGTTTGCTCAGGATGAGGGTTCTGCTAAGGAGTTAAATTCAAAGCTGTCTGCTCCTCAGATAAATAGTGTTATTTGTGTTGATAAATAGTGTTGTTTTTAAATAGTGTTAAATAATTAATTTTAAATAAAAATTCCATGCCGATTGTGCGGCTCATCTATCAACCAGCCAATTGTGTGTCATGTCCAATCTTATTTTGAAAAACTGCAATAGAGCGAGTCTGCGATAAACGAACTGTGAAGGAGAGAGGGACTACTGTAAACCAAACTAAAAATGTGTAAAGTGTAACTAAATATCTGGTGTTCACCACAAGGAATCTATGTTGACAGCTCAGGGTTAGATTTTCAAATGTACGCCCAAATTGAACATGCATATAATTTAAACATCTATCCATCAGTTCTATTCTTATTCATGCAGTAAAGTACTGTATTTGAAGAACAATGGAATAAAGCAACAAAAAATGTAAATGTTGAAATGATATGCTGTCAGTGGTAATTATAATTGTGCCTGGTAGGGTCTCTCAAGGTACAAACCAGATTCCAAAAAAGTTGGGACACTAAACAAATTGTGAATAAAAACTGAATGCAATGATGTGGAGATTGTAAATGTCAATATTTTATTCATAATATAACATAGATGACAGATAAAAAGTTTAATCTGAGTAAATGTAACATTTTAAAGGAAAAATATGTTGCATCAAAATTTCAGTGTCAACAAATCCCAAAAAAATTGGGACAAGTAGCAATAAGTGGCTGGAAAAAGGAAATTGAGCATATAACGAACAGCTGGAAGACCAATTAACACTAATTAGGTCAACTGACAACATGATTGGGTATAAAAAGAGCTTCTCAGAGTGTCAGTGTCTCTCAGAAGCCAAGATGGTAAGAGGATCACCAATTCCACCATTGTTGCGCAGAAAGATAGTGCAGCAATACCAGAATGGTGTTACCCAGCATAAAATAGCAAAGACTTTTAAGTTATCATCATCAACCGTGCATAACATCATCAAAAGATTCAGAGAATCTGGAACAATCGCTGTGCGTAAGGGTCAAGGCC